TTTTTTTTTCCGAATTCTATGGTATCTTGATTATGTTCCTACAATTTTTTCAATTTAACAAATCCTTCCGTTGTCAGGAAGAAGAAGAACAGCTGTCAAATAGTAACTCTTTGGATTTGAAAAAGTCGAAGGGCCAAGGTCAACCAGTTCCTCATTTACCATGGCCTGATCCACTCTATTCCAAGCAGTGGTATTTGGTTAGTCGTCCATATCGAAACTCATGTTGTAATCAGTTCTCAGTGCAAACAGTTGGGTTCAGGTTGGAAAGGCTGCAGGCAACTATGATATGAACGTGCGAGAGGCATGGCTACTCGGTTACGCAGGTCGTAACATATCTATCTCTATCCTTGATGACGGAATTCAACGGTACGTACCGTTCCTTACCACATCCGTTCCTTGTCTTTTCACTATTCTATCCTGGTATTACATATATAGACTGACTAGGTGAATCTTTGTTAAGAGATCATCCTGATTTGGCGGCCAATTACGATCCATTAGCAAGCACCGACATCAACGATCACGACGATGACCCTACGCCAAAAAACAACGGTGAAAACAAGTGAGCTTTTGAATGAAATAGAGACAGCCCTAGTTTGGAAGTTTTTCTTTGTGTGTTGACTCTTTCTCCATTACTGGCGACTCACGCTGGAGTTTTTCGTTTTTCGGTACAGCAGTTGTTCTGTCTGTGAGTACGCGTTTTTCCTTTACAAGATTGGCTTCCAGACACGGTACCCGATGTGCAGGTGAGGTCGCTGCTGTTGCTGGGAACAACTACTGTGGAGTTGGTGTTGCGTTCAAAGCGAAAATCGGAGGGGTAGGGTTTGAGTTGAACCATGAACCTTCAACTATGAACTTTCACTTGCTAAAAGCAATTTCATTCAAGGTACGTATGCTTGATGGCAAGGTATCAGACGGTGTTGAAGCAGCATCGTTGTCATTGAACCAGGTAAATGTTTGATGTGGTCTCAGCAGGACCTTTTGTAGAGCTGATCGCAGTCTAGTAGGATATTCTGGGAACTGGGATTCTGTTGCTGAAATGCTGGATTAGGGGTTTTAGGAATCTTGGAATTAAGTTCTGAAAATGAAAATTCAACTCAAAAAAAAGTTTTTAACAGGAAATAAGTGGAGTACATATGTAAGTCAGTTATTCAGGATCACATCGACATCTACTCCGCAAGTTGGGGTCCGAATGATGATGGCAAATCACTTGATGGACCGGGACCTCTTGCTAGAGAAGCCATCTTGAGAGGAATCAGATATGGGCGTCAAGGAAAAGGGAACATTTTCGTGTGGGCCAGTGGAAACGGCGGTGGAAAGTGGGTCGTAAGACATGATAAAAAATTAAAAAATATTAAAAATGTTTTGCCATCACTTCAATAGCGCAGATTTCGAACATTATACGCTAATTTCGATTATAGCGCTCTAGGGCAGTTTTGTGCAAAGCCATTTGCTTCGGGTAGCCGAAAGTAAACAGGGGCAGCGGTGGCAGTACGCGATCCGAAGCTATCCCAATGTGAGGATGATAACGCCTGTGGTAGGTAACAGGGTTGGACTCCGCCTATAGGTAGAGGGCGAGCGCAAAATCAGTGTTTGAGCGGATATCCATTAATTATGATTCCCTGGGCACAGGCGTTCAAATTTGATTTGACAGCAGAGACGACAGAAGAGGGACCTTGATGCTAGGTGGTAGAAAGTGACTGAACTGGATTCCACACAGAAGAAAGTGGGACGCGGATCAAGGGGAGAACGGAACGTGTGTAAAATTAACTCAGATTGAGTAAAGATACAAAGTCAAGTTGGAGAGGTGGATTCGGAATAACTAGAGAATCAAGCCAGGTACTCAGCACACAAAACTTGAGCAGATTCCGCTCTTGGCGGGCAGGGCGCACTCTTTAACTGCTGTTCTCCTGAACCAGGGCGACTGAATTTGGAAGAGGTGTAGGTTGCGGGCAAATTCTACACGAAATAGGGAGAGTTCAGCGTCTGCCGGTCTATCGTGCTGGTGGCTTGTATGCCGTCAATGAAGGGAGTGCAGCGGATGTCGGTAGTGCGAGGGACGAAGAGCTTCTTCATCTTTCATTATTTCAGTTTCATCCGACAATGTAAAAAAATAGTTTTTTTAATTCGGTTGATGCATTGCCTAACCTAAAAACTCCTTCCATTTTGCGATTAATAAAAGCGCGCTTGAGAATCAAATGCGCGGTGAAGCAATGCACTAGTTTCGAATTCTACAATATGTCTACTTCAGACAAGATTCCTGTTCGGCAGATGGGTACACCACATCTGTGTATACTTTGTCAGTCTCTTCTGCCACATACGATAACCGTCGCCCCTGGTACCTAGAAGAATGTCCCTCGTCGATTGCTGCCACCTACAGCTCCGGGAAAAGCAGTGAGCCTGCTATTGTTAGTTCTTTAAGTGCTGTAGAACTCAACCAGATGGTTGTATAACATTTCTTTATTGGAACGTAAGTTTGTTCCGCTCAGGTTTCCACTGATGTCCCACAAGGCTGCACTCTGAGGCATACGGGAACGAGTGCATCTGCTCCACTGGCTGCCGGCATGATAGCTCTTGCATTGGAGGCCAAGTAAACTTAGTGTTTCCTCAAAAGTGTTGTTATCTTCGACTTTCTTTATTATTATTCATGTCTCTTCCAGCCCGGATCTCACATGGCGAGATATGCAGCACATAGTTCTTCGAACAGCTAACCCGAGACCGCTTCTTGGAAATCCTGGTTGGTCACGAAACGGTGTAGGAAGAATGATTAGCAACCTGTGGGTAGTGGTTATGTTACTTCAACAGTTGTGTGGGTCATAATTTAAGTCAAGAGGTTGGGCCGAGCAGCTGACAGTCAAAGGATTTTCCAGGTTTGGCTACGGCCTTATGGATGGGGGTGCCATTGTGAAGTTGGCCAAAGTATGGGAGACGGTTCCTGAACAACATATCTGTACATATCAAAATCAATATAAGAGGTACGCCTTCCCAATACTATTTTTGAAGACAAGACGATGACTTTTTTTTAGTTCCCGTTCGCTACGAGGTCGTTTTCGAATGAATTTTACGTTGACAGTGAACGGTTGCGGGTCTGGAACGCCAATTTTGTATCTCGAGCATGTTCAAGTGCATGTAACCGGTGGGTGCTTTATTTATGTAGACTATATTTTTTGATTATAATTGAATTACATATATAACTGTAAGTTCAAATCAGTTCAAATCATATATCCGTGTATTAGGTACTTTCCCATACAACCTATTTGACCCGAATAATCTACTTTTACGGTGTCGATTATAGTGAAATTCGATAAACGAGGTGACTTAAAACTCACGCTTTACTCACCATCTGGAACAAGGTCGGTGTTACTACCTCCTAGGCCTCAGGTACGTCGGCTTTTGCCAGAAACAGTATGTTACGAGCTAGTGGTATGAGATTTAGACGTGTTCGATGTATTGTAGGTGAAAAATTCTATTGTAGGCTCGGCACATCTTGTCCTTGCTAATTCTCTTTCGCTATCGAAAAGTATAAAAAGTTGCAGGATTCTAGCTCCCATGGGCTCAATGATTGGCCATTTTTATCTGTGCAACAATGGGGCGAGGACCCCTATGGGACATGGATTCTCGAAGTCCAGAGTGTCACCAATAACCCGACCGCCTCAGGCAATTTCCAGATTTTGCGTTATGCTTCCGTTTTTCTCGTATCTGAAATATTGTGCACATAGCCTGAATTCCAACTCCTCAGGTACTTTCTACAATTGGAAATTAGTTTTATATGGTACGGAGGAGCCGGCTCAAACAGGGGATACAATTCATCCACATTATTCTCGGAGATCTAACAGAGTATTAGCTAAGAAGGTCAGTTGATTTTCATATTCTTAGTTGCCATCAGAGAAGGTGTAAAAGAGAATGGTTAAAATGGTAGACCCTACTGAACAAAATGATTAGATTTTATTATCAGTGGAATGCAGTTTTTGTGTTCATTCGCGTTGATCAAAATGGGCTACAGATTCAGTGTTATGATACTTTGCTGCACCTAACTCTCTTTGAAAAAACAACTACCCTAAAATTCCATAGATAAGAGCGGGTGAGCCTACCGGTGAAAAAT